TATTTTCAAATGCCTTTTATAAGACAACGCGCACTGAAATGGGAGGAACTAGAGTTTATTTTGTCATAAGGTAGTGTGATTATGCATGACACGAAGTATTTGCTAGTCTAGTACTGGAGAAATTAGCGTTTGGATGCGCATTGTGCGGCTTTAAGTGAGCCAAGGGCGATTCAGTAGTTATGCTATTCCATTTATGTTTATAATAACCTATAGATGGCGCTACTGAGAAACACTTTGAACTTGTCAAGTTGGTTTTGAAATTAATAAATTACGCCATGAAAGTAGAAATTTACACGTGATAATGCCACTCGCTTGTTTCCTGAGATAACTGGTACAGATATTGCAGTTGTTAAGTTTATAAAACATTGCTTTTAGTTTGATATGGAGCGGAGGGTTTCGGAAATCGATGACGATCCATCTCCACACACGTCTACGCCGACAACTGCCGTGGACATCACGACTAATGCTAATGCCTCTACAGCTATCATCGACTTACTTCCAGGTAATAAAGGACAATGATGAAACAGAAATGACGTGGTTCTATACTTCACAATATAAAGCAATCAAGTATAGATGCATATGTGATTGATACACATGCTACACATGATTTATTTTATACATGACATATATCTTATTGATTTTATATATGATGTTATTGATATTACACATGATTTGATCGTAACGACTTCACTAACCAACTCACCAACAGGTGGCCACGCGATAAAGTCGGAGCCGGTCGACGAAGAAACCTCGATGGAGCTCAACGAAACCGCCGTGAAAGAAGAGCCGGTCGACGACAACGACAACGAGCGGGTAGAGGGCGACACCGTCGTGCGTGAGTGGCCGGCGGGGCTCCCTCCCGGCTACGTCGTGCACGACATCACGCCGCTGACCCACGACCCCGATGTCGTGAACCCTCTCCCGCGACGACCTCTCGCCGGCAAGCCGCCCCCGTCCCCGCCACACTCTCCCCCCGTCTCCACCCCCCCGGCGAGCAGGAAGAAGGGGTCGCTACCCCCCGGATCGAAGCCTGAGGCGGAGGTGGACGTGGAGGCGGTGCTGGGGGAGGCGGGGCAGGCCGCGATGGATCGGAAGACGAAGTGCAAGATGTTGCTGGGAGTCATCGAGAAGCTGATATCGAACCAGTCGGCCGACAACGTGACGCAGGCCAAGTCGCTCCTCGAGAAGCTGCGCGTCGTATCCATGCCGACGGTAACCGAGGCAACGCCGGCGACTCCCGACGCGATGCCGCAGCTCATCGTCACGGCGACGGGCGGTGCTCCCGAGCTGTGCACACGCCTCGCGAGTCCTCCGCTACCCGCGGGCGCGCCGGCGAAGCTGCGCACGCTTCTGATGCAGCGTCCCGCGCCATCGCCGATTCTCACCTCCGTGTTAACGGCACCCCAGGCGCTGCCCGTCGTCGTGCCGTTGACGGAGGCGCCCCCTGCGTGCGTCGCCACGCCGCTGCAGGTGGCGCCAGCGGAGGAGAGCGCGGAGGAGAGCATGGTGGTGAGTCTGAGCGAGATTCTGCCGAGGGACGCGGTGATTCGACCGCAGGACATCACGATCACGAAGAACGAGAACGCGGCGTTCGGCTGCGTGCAGATCAGCATCAAGTACGCGAAGCGCGTCGTGAAGAAGGTCAAGATTCCCTGACACGCCGTTCTACGATGTTCCCTAACACGCCGTTCTACAATGTTCCCTGACACGCCGTTCTACAGTGTTCCCTGACACGCCGTTCTACAGTGTTCCTGACAACGCCGTTCTCAGTGTTCCCTGACACGCCGTTCTACAGTGTTCCCTGACACGCCGTTCTACAGTGTTCCCTGACACGCGTCTACAGTGTTCCCTGATCCTTTGTTTTTTTCCCTGCACACCCGTTCTACAGTGTTCCCTGACACGCCGTTCTACAGTGTTCCCTGACACGCCGTTCTACAGTGTTCCCTGACACGCCGTTCTACAGTGTTCCCTGACACGCCGTTCTACAGTGTTCCGTGACACGCGCTTCTACAGTGTTCCCTGAACACGCCGTTCTAAGCAGTGTCTCCATGACACGCCGTTCTACATGGTTCCCTGAGCACGCCCGTGTCTACAGTTTTCCTGACACGCCGTTCTAGAAAACAGTGTTCCATGACACGCCGTTCTACACAGTGTTCCCTGACACGCCGTTCTACAGTGTTCGCCCGGACACGCGTTCTACAGTTTCCCTGACACGCCGTTTCTAACAGGTTCCTGACACGCCGTTCTACTCAGTGTTCCCTGACACGCCCGTTCTACAGTGCTTCCCTGACACGCCGTTCTACAGTGTTCCCTGACACCGCCGTTCTACAGTGTTCCTGTACACGCCGTTCTACAGTGTTCCGTGACACGCCGTTCTACAAGTGTTCGCCTGACATGCCGTTCTAGAGTGTTCCCTAGACACGCCCGTTCTACCAGTGTCCCTGACACGCCGTTCTACAGTGTTCCCTGACACCCCGTTCTACAGTGTTCCCTTTACACGACGGCTGTGCGCTGACAGCGGCCTGTTGTTTCCTTCCACACAGAGGACAGTACTGTGTTGTTCCCTCCATATGGGGAACGTACCATGTCTGTCCATATGAGGACAGTACTGTGATGTTCCCTCCACTTTGCACGAGCAGCAAATTCCGTAGAAACCTTCCCTGTGTACTACTAGGATATACTAACCATTACAGGTTACCCATACGCGCACACACACACACACACTCACACACACACAACCAACACACACACACACAACACAACCCACACACCATGTACATAATTAAATATATAATATATATACACACAATGTGGCAAGTCAAACAGCGTGCTATGTCCATTCTGCACATTCGTAGCGGGTACCATCTAACTTTCAATTCAATTGCTGCTCACTATGAAATGTTTTGTAGGTTTTTATCTTATAGTAGTATATTATTATTCGTAGTATGTATTCAGAGTGAAGATATCCAATGCAGTAATTCGGAAAAAGAAAAGGTAGAAGTTGTAAGAAAGGGTTGCTTTTATATGAGATTTATACATTGTTCTCACGAGGTACATTAAGGAAGGCACCTACCAAGCTAATTTACAAAATTATGACTCGGCAAACCAAATTCCAAAGTTGTTGTGGGGCTGACAGCTCTGAGAAACTTCATTGCATTTAACTTTCGCTGTTACTTGTTTTAGTGTGCACTTCTTACAATGAGTATATTTAAAAATATTTATATAAGATAACTGTGTGTTTTTATTATTATTTGCTGTTTGTGGATGAATGCATACATTGTTAAAAGTTGATCAGAACAACAAATAAGTCTATACAAAATCATTATTATCGGCAAAATATATCTAAATCAAACTCTTTATTACAAAAATTCCAATTCATTTGGCAATTCGTTTCGCTGTAGCTTTTTAGAGTTATCATATATATCTTCGATTCATATATAAAGTACAAATAGTTGTTTTTACACGAGTGCCGACAACAGATTAAACAGCCGCTATAGCTCGCCGATTACCGACGCTACACATAGTCGTTTCATATTGTCATTACAGTAGTAGATTCATTCACAGTCCTGTAACAATATGTATAGCTTTGTAACATGTATCAGTAACTATGTATCACACAAAGTACTGTATCACTCAGAAATTTATAATTGTAAACTGCTCAAACACATTGCATTCATCAGATTTTTTCTCCTTGATTTCAACCGTATTTCAACTGAAACTTTTTTACTCGGCGAAGCACAAAATGTAAATTTACGCCTATAAATACAGCGTGCCAGCGTGCTGTGCGATCGACCCTGCGTGTGCGCGTCCGTTAGTGCGTGTTATGTTGGTTTGTGGGAACTGTTAAAAACGCGATATTATAGCCGTATAATCATATTTTGTCCTTTGGGGGGGGGGGTTGAAAATGTGAGGCTGAAAACCGGCCATTTGGCTGGCTAACTTTTCAGCCCGTGCACCTGATGCCGTGGGCGATACTATCGCGACGAGGGGAGGGAAATACTGCAGGGGAACGGAGTGAGAGAGGAAGGAGGAATGAAAGAGGAGAGAAAGGTGAGAGGGACGGAGGGAGGAAAGAATGCAGAGCGAGATGTGCACACGCATGCCAGTCACACGCGCAGACAAACGCAGCTGTACGGCATAAACGCGCGACACACACAGGCCGATGCACATGTTCCTTCTAATATAGTTACTTCTCTCACCTTTCCTCCGTCGACCCTCTCCCTCTCCGTGACTCTCACCCCCCCCCCCCCTCCTCTCACACACACACACACACACACACACACACACACACACACACACACACACACACCACACACACTCTCTCTCGCAACATTTCTCTTTACGCACGCCACGCACGCACGCACGCACGCCACGCACGCACAGACACACACACACACACACACACACACACACACACACCACAACACACACACACAAACTCACACACACACAAACTCACACACACGCGGCGCAGCAACACACACATACACACACTGTCTCTCTCTCTGAGCTCTCTCTCTCTCTCGCAATTTTCTCTCTTTCTCGGGCGCTATGTAATATATACTATATATATACTCGCCTCTCTCCGTTTTCTTCCTCGCCTTCTTTACTTCCCTCTCGCGGATGGTATCGCCCCACGACCAGGTCAAGCGCGTGGCAAAAAACATTGCAGGTAAATGCGCCTATTTCAACTGAAACAATTCACTCGCGAGCCACAAAATCGTGAATTTACGCCTATAATACACTCGCACGCGTAGCGTGCGACCGTACCGCGTGTGCGCGTCCGTTAAGGCCCAATCCACCAGAGCTACGCTCATCACGATCGCCCCGTCCTCAAAAAATCCCCGAGCGTGAGTGAGCGTGGTTGAGAGCGTGGCCAAATTGGGC